TTATACACGAGAAGATAGTTTTCTTCCGAAGTCTGTAAATCCTCGATACGTCATGTGATCTTTCGCAGTCACACTTATGCTCGACTACTCACACCGGACACTAGCCAGAAGTCCACTCTTCTTGGACGACGTCTCTGTCCTGAGTGACAGCGCGACCAGGTCCGACCGCAAGTTCTTGGTCTCTCGTCAGTCATTGTTGTTCTGCAGCGAGGTTAACACTAGGATCGCTTTGTGACAGGACAGAGGTTAGCAAAAGGGACTTACCTTTTTTGGGTGTACGGAGGAATTATGGCCTGTGAAGTGTGTCGACGTCTTCAATACTAGTATAGTCTAGTGTACCTTTTACCTCACAGTGAGAGGGAAGAACCGGTTTTCCGATACAGATCTGGGAAATGCAGTCATTTAGAAGTCACTAGTTGACGTATTAGCGATAACGAGCCGAACCACCGTAAAACCTTCTTATTCGAACCAGATTCAACTTATAGTGTACGAAAGTGACGTCTGGTAATCGTTAGATATTCGTAATTGTACGCGAAACAAAATGAGTCAGTTTTATATAGGTTATATGAGTTCTTGGTAACGCTTACAGCTTTGTCTACCAAAACACACATTACTAGTAACGAAATGTTAATAATATTAAAATTGTGTTTTTCATTGTGGGTCTCGGTCCCTTCAATAAAATTCGTTCCTTCTTTGTCGAGTTGTATCATGTCCGTCTATTTTTCAATTTGAAGGATAAGGTCCAGAGAAGACAGTCGACTTTTTATGTAACGGGGTGAAGGACGAGACGTTTTCTTACTGGTCGACGACTTCTTGAGCACTTCGACTGTTAACTTAAAAGAATAATACAGTGTCATGGTAGAGTTGATTTGGTTGCATAGAAGAAGGAGACCACGGTATCTCGAGGAACTATTTTTGCGTGAGTCGTTTATGAGTCTTTATGACTTAGCTATAACCCTAACAGGAACACTGTCTTGACTTTCTACTGTTATTTCTGAAACTGATTATGAATTCTTTACATTGTACGCACTCTATATCCCAGAACAAAATCCCTCGAGATTCATGGAGCATTCTGAGAACCTTTGTAGATAAAAAAGTAAGTTAATATTACAAAAAAATAAAGTTAGACTTTTAGTGTTATGTAAAGACCGCGAATAAAGAATGTGTAAAGCGACTAAGCCATTTTTAATCAAGTTTTATTCCGACAAAGAGGTGATTAATCTTTCTAGACTTATAGATTTATGGGTAGAATCCAAGTATTTAAGTAATGGTTCCAGTACGACTCTCATCTATGCATCCGGGTTACGTCTTCGAGCCCACGGTTACAGTCATTTGAACGAACATTGTAAAGAAGTCGTAATCAGTATGTAGTATCTCTACTTTAAAGAGTCCTCTCCTGCTGATGTTCAAGTGTATATCAGTATGTAGTGTCTCTACTTTAAAGAGTCCTCTCCTGCTGATGTTCAGGTGTATATCAGTATGTAGTATCTCTACTTTAAAGAGTCCTCTCCTGCTGATGTTCAGGTGTATATCAGTATGTAGTGTCTCTACTTTAAAGAGTCCTCTCCTGCTGATGTTAGGTGTATATAGTATGTAGTGTCTCTACTTTAAAGAGTCCTCTCATGCTGATGTTCAGGTGTATATCAGTATGTAGTGTCTCTACTTTAAAGAGTCCTCTCCTGCTGATGTTCAGTTGTGTATCAGTATGTAGTGCCTCTACTTTAAAGAGTCCTCTCCTGCTGATGTTCAGGTGTATATCAGTATGTAGTGTCTCTACTTTAAAGAGTCCTCTCCTGCTGATGTTCAGGTGTATATCAGTATGTAGTGTCTCTACTTTAAAGAGTCCTCTCCTGCTGATGTTCAGGTGTATATCAGTATGTAGTGTCTCTACTTTAAAGAGTCCTCTCCTGCTGATGTTCAGTTGTGTATCAGTATGTAGTGCCTCTACTTTAAAGAGTGCTGCTTTCAAACCTAAAGTCCAGTTTTTCCACAGGAATATTTTTGAATTTGTGTTGTCATGGAAATACTCTTGCTCATGGGCATTGAAGCGTTCTTCAAGTGTTCTGGTTTAAAAAAAAAGTAAATTAATAAAGTGAACCGAGAGCGATGCCTGGATGGTGATGGAGGAGCCACTATGAATTATTTATTCAATACCATCTGTTGTTTTATTAGGGATTATTAAATTAAATATTGATGATAATGGCTCCGTTATGTCCGCCTCTGTCTCTACAACAAAAGACTCTCATTACAAAATGACGAGACAAAGAGGGGGAAAAAAGACAAGTCACAAACAGTTGCTGGGTTCTGTATTATCCTCAAATTATATTTAGCTATGAGCTTGGATTTTCCATTCAGTCTGTCTTTCTGTCTTTTCCCCGAAACTTGGGGGAAGGGTGGAGCATGGGCCAAGAAATAACCCACTATATTTTACTACAACACTCTCTCAGTACCATGGTCATTGTACTGTGTACTGTGTGCCTTCTTGGCCAGGTCAGCATTGTAAATGAGATTTTATCTCAATGCTTTTTATCTGGTTAAATAAAGGTTAAATAAAAAATAAAAATAAAACTAGTAGCAATCATGTTGACTGAATTGTTGTAACAGTGTGTGTCTGTGTGTGTGTGTTTTTGTTTCCAGAGAGCGCTGCCTGCTGCCTCTACAGATGGCTCTGGAGTCCAAAAACACCAAACTGGGACAAACAGCACTCACTGGGATGCAGGTACTGTCAAATACAGCAACACTATGACAAATATTTTTCATTTCATTACTTTAGCTTAGCGGTGGTGACGTGAAGTCATGTGACCGTGCTGTAGTTCCTTTATAGCCCAACATTAGCCACCTTTAGCTTAGCGGTGGTGACGTGAAGTCATGTGACCGTGCTGTAGTTCCTTTATAGCCCAACATTAGCCACCTTTAGCTTAGCGGTGGTGACGTGAAGTCATGTGACCGTGCTGTAGTTCCTTTATAGCCCAACATTAGCCACCTTTAGCTTAGCGGTGGTGACGTGAAGTCATGACCGAGCTGTAGTTCTTTATAGCCCAACGTTAGCCCCTTTAGCTTAGCGGTGGTGACGTGAAGTCATGTGACCGTGCTGTAGTTCCTTTATAGCCCAACATTAGCCACCTTTAGCTTAGCGGTGGTGACGTGAAGTCATGTGACCGTGCTGTAGTTCCTTTATAGCCTAACGTTAGCCGCCTTTAGCTTAGCGGTGGTGACGTGAAGTCATGGCTGTAGTTTCTTTATAGCCTAACGTTAGCCGCCTTTAGCTTAGCGGTGGTGACGTGAAGTCATGTGACCGTGCTGTAGTTCCTTTATAGCCGCGGTGGTGACGTGAAGTCATGTGACCGTGCTGTAGTTCCTTTATAGCCCAACATTAGCCACCTTTAGCTTAGCGATGGTGACGTGAAGTCATGTGACCGAGCTGTAGTTTCTTTATAGCCTAACGTTAGCCGCCTTTAGCTTAGCGGTGGTGACGTGAAGTCATGTGACTGTGCTGTAGTTCCTTTATAGCCTAACGTTAGCTTTTTAGTTCTGGAGATGGAATTTACGCTTTAAAAATCAACGTTTCAGCAAGAAAGTAAAGGTCACCCTGCAGGTTATAGGTCGACAGACGAATAGCTAACATACAGACTGATTCAGCTGTATCAACAATTTTTGTTATAGTTATCGATGGTAACCCTCGATTTGTAAACTCTCAAGAGATCTGACCTCGAACGGTTCAGGTTTGGGTTCAAACAGCGAGTCTTGTGAGAGTTTGGGCAACATTTAGCAAATAAAGGGTTAGCATCAAGACACAACTTCCAAACGCTTATCAGTCTGAGTTTTTTTTCCTGATAGGTGCTTTTAATGTTTACTGAACTCACCGTGTGGATGCAGGGCAGCTCCTTATTGAGCAACCAGGGTAACGAGAGTCGTCCCTCGCCACGGTAACAGGAGCGGATCCTCTCCCTCATGGCGAGGTTGATGTCGTGGAGCGTGAACAGACACAGGACCGTTTCTCTGGGGGGGTTCGAGCGGTTCTTCTGACCCTGAAAACACAAAAAAAACACAGAGTCTGAAAAGTGCTGGTTTGGATCCCTGAAACAAGGCACTGCCACTAATGTCAGAGTAAAAGAAACAATAGTGAATGACAAAAAGAAAACTGAAAAGATGAAAAACAAGTAAAGCAAAACATCAACAAGTAAAAACAAACCAATAATTAGAGAAAGAACAAAAGCAGAAGAAGGACTGATTGAGGAAAAAGTTAAGCAAGAAAGAAAAGAAAGGAACATTTAAGAAGTAAAGTCAACAAGAAATTGGAAAGCTTCAATCAGAATAAATGTTTGTAGGGTAAACAGTTATTTCTTTTGATTTATCTAACGTCTGCAGTCTAGACGTTCGATAAATAGAAGGAAGAAAAACGAAGAATGGAAAAAAGAAACAGAATATTTTTATAGAAAAGTTAAGACAAGATGGGGGAATACGGAAAAAGGAGTAAAGAAAAAAGTGAAACAATTGTGAATGGATAAAATGAAAGGTAGAAATGGAAGAAGAAAAAATAAAGAAATACGAAATATAGACAGACAAAAAACAGCGAAATAAATAAATAAAAAAGACAAAATAAGAAAGCTAAGGGAAGACATTTAAACTGACAAAACAGGAAGAGAATAAACAGAAAGGACAGAAAATAAATAAATAAAAAGGAAATAACAGACATTGAAACAGATAAGGGATTCAAAAAGAAAAGAAAAAATAGAGGCAACGAAAGGAATAAACAAGCGAGTATAGAGTCCAGATAAAGGCGTCCAATCAGAACAGAGGAAGCTGAAGGCAAGGCACGTTTATTTATACAGCAGCTTTCAACACAAGGCAATTCAAAGTGCTTAACAATAATGAAAGACATGAAGGTAGTAGGGATGCTATTAATAATTGTAAATGGCCATTGGTCACACCACCAGTTTGTTTTACTGTAAACTTGGAGGAAGCCTGCGTGCAGAGCAGACTGCTGCTGCAGAGCTACACACCGACCCCGCCCCACCCCCCCTCTCCCTCACACGTGCGACTAAAGGGGGGGGGCTGCCGAATAATCGATTTTGATCATGGTCAGTTTCTGGCAACCCTAGAAGGTAGCTCACCTGTGAAAAGACGACGAAGAGCACATCGTCGTCCTCCGTCAGACCGAGCGCCTGCGCCAGCCTCCGCCCGGGCTTCTGTTTGTACGCGGCCTGAACCAGCCGGTACTCCACGCCGTCCTTCGTGCAGCCCAGAGGGAACTCCACGTAGGAGTAGAACTCGGTGTCGTTGGAGCACATCCTCACGATCTTAGAGGTGAAGAACTTCTCCCCGCCGGCGTCCATCTGCGTGAGCTGCGTGTCCAGCTGCAGCGTCAGGAAGTAGACGTAGGTGCGACTGGAGAATCCGTACACGTAGTAGATGTCGAAGGCCGGGTATAAGGACAGCGTATCGGACGGGATTTTGATCTGAGAGGAGACAAACTCGTCCTGGTAGACTAGAGAGAACATGTTGACGCTCTCCTCGTCCGCCACCAGCTTCCTGCTGGACAGCGTGGGGAAATACTCAGACTTTCCATCGATGGCGCGGACCCCCACACCTGGGAAAGAGGAGATGGTTCACAATCACCGAATGTTTTATCGATGAGTCTGCGCTCACAAGTGTGTTGTTTAGGAGCAGATAAAAAAAGCCCTTTGCACCCAGATGCTGTCGTTTGTGGATAAATCTGCAGAAAGCAGAGTGTACTACGGAGTCATTTTGGCAGATACAGAGAGAGAATTTCAATTTCAAGGACAGGGTGCTCAGCAAATAATAAAAAACAGAGACAGATACTGACTATAAATAGCGATTTTGAAAGTATCTGCTGATCTGTGATTCAGAGTTTCCAACCTCCATCTGAATTAACCAATGAAGCCATTTCAGACCCTTTCTACTCCTTTTCCACTGAGGCAGTGCCATGAAGCTGGTGCCTAATTGCAAACCAGTACTTGGTGTTTCCACTGTGTCAGCACCGGCCTTGAAATTAAGTCCAACTCTGGCCCCAAATATACTCAACCGGCAGCCACCAGAACCGAGAGCCACATGTCAGAGATTAACTGGAGCAGTAACAGTTCAGGGCGAGAGCACAAAGTAGAAACAGAAGCAGAAGCACCAAGATCGAAAAGTGGCAAGGACACAATCATATATTTTAAAGCCGTAAAGTCGCAGAACATTCACCATATTATTTATTATATGGCGCTACAGCAACGTGCCGTGGGTGCCCTCGGGCTCTGGTTGCCGGAAAAGTAAACTGGTTCTTAAGTTTCCCCAAAGTTGAACAGACCAAACTAGCCGAAGCACATAACAAGAACAGAACTCATTAAAAGTGATAGTAATAGTTTTTTTTACAAAAGGTCTGAAAGTGGAAAAAGGAACCCAGGAACATTTTCTAACCCGATCAGTAGTTGTAAAGAGACGTATTATGTAATTCCTCAAAACCTTTTGAATGTGCTTTTAAAGTATGCAACTTCATACTGATGTTAGCTACAGAGTCAATTAAGATAGATTAATATATAAAAAGGCTGAATTTTAAAGTAGGATTATGGACTGCTTGACTGTTACTGAACAATGCTCATTTATCATTTGACTGTGCTGTAGTTCCTTTATAGCCCAACATTAGCCACCTTTAGCTTAGCGATGTTCAGG